TTTTAGTCAAGTTGGTTATATTTTAAGACCTCAACAGCACCAAAACGTATCCTCAATCAATCTAACTTATTGCTATTAATAAATAAACCACAAACTACCAGCATATATCATATCAATTGACACGGAAACGAAGGCAATTTCATATTCATAACAAGTGACGCAGACAACTCAATAAGAAGGTCTATTTCGGTGACTGTATCTATATCAGTCTAGCCGAAATGCCTACGCGTTTACTATATAAATGTGCCAAAAAAAAGATACAAAAAATATACAAATTCAAAAGTAAAACCATTCAAGAGCCATTCAAATGTTTATGTGACTTTAATTACGTGACAGCGCACTTGGAATGAAACAACATTGAAATCCTATTAAATATGTGTATGCAGTTATGGCCCCAGCCACAGACACAAGTGTAAGCGATTGACACAGATACAGATACAGAGATACACACAGATACATCCAGCGTTTGTTCGGGTAAAATACTATAGAAATAGAAATAGAGAGAGAGGGCGCTCCAAACATCCAAACATGGACTCACTAGCGAACCATAACCAAAAGCCAAGTTTCGGCAATGGTGACGCAATTTACAAATAGTTGCGAGTGCAAAATTTGTATTTGCAAACGAAAATAAAAATAAAAAAAAGAGAATTCTACAAATACAAATAGCACTTGCCCGGTGGCAGTAGCTAACAGTATCTTTAAGATACATATTTGCTGAGCCAAAGAGGAAAGAGGCCTGCACGGAAAGAAAAGTTGAGTAAGTATTTGCAGAGCTTTAAAACAAAGTATGAAAAAGTTAAGTCAGGCACAGTAGGAAGTTTATATGTTATTATAATCTTATTCCTTTACTAATATATCAACAATTTCTGAAGAAGAACCAACTATTTTTTCCATGTTTTTCATACAAAAAACGAAACATTATTTTCCTAAGACCTAGCCAAGTAAACCCGGTCCGCTGTTCATGTGTCCGTCATCGACTTGAATCGCATCGAATCGCATTGAATCGCATGTGGCAAGGTGTAATTTACCCTTCAATCAATGCGCAGCAAATCAGTTGGCAATGTGCTCTGCGCAGGCGCACCTCGATGGCTCCTCAGCCCGTGCCGCACCACGCTGCACCCCACCTTCTCTTTTCGTGTCAGTTGGCAGCACATTTGGGTTAACAATTGGTTAACTGTATACCGGCCATATCGAGGCTTGTGGCTATATTTATATATACATATATATCTCCATATATATATGGAAGTTTGTGTGTGTGCCGAATGACTAACTGGGCGCAAGGTGCTTTTTAAACTCTGTTAAAAAAGCATAAAAACCTGTGTGGAAGTCGGCAATGCAAAAGGAAAGCCAACTAGCAAAGATATTTGGTATTTATGTCTACAACGTACAAGTTACTAATCGGATTTATATGAGGTGGTTTAGGCCATATTTGCAGGCTGTTCAATAAATATTGTAATAAATTTCATAGAAAGAGCTAGGGGAAGCTACTACTATTACTTAATTTTAAAAGCTAACCAATTATTAATAACTTTATAACAAATAATATGCTTCCTATGAAAGGAAAACCCCCCGAAAGTTTATTAATATTTTTAATTAATAACTTAATTTCAGGTTGTTGCCACATCTTAAAAGATGATTAATTGTTTTACTTTTTGGTAATTTTCTTAAAAAAAATTAATTAATTGTTTAATTGTCGAAGACAAGGTTTACATTTCCTCATTCGCTCAGCTTTAGACCACATTTTTTTAACTGTTTTTGACTTGACTTAACGCACAGAGTTAACCGAAAAACAGTTAAGGAGAAAAAAAAAACAAAATAACAGACAATGAGATGTTGATCATGTTGTAGTTGGCAGGTTAACAAGCAACCCGGGCAGCCTTAGGTGTGTATTTATGTTGAAAATATCTGCGGCGAATTGGTGCTTCCTTAATTTACCATGTTAATTGCTCAAATTAACACGCAGATAAATCGAGAGACAAGTCAACAAACCCAACATAAACCATCCGAGAGTCAACAACTTTTGGTTGCGCTTCAAGGCGGCCAAAAGGAAAAAGCTCTGCTGTTGCTGTTATTTCCCCTTTATTCGCTGATGATCAAACAATACGTCGTCCAGTTTGGACAAACATTTGCAGCAAACCATTTTCATTCCCATTTCAAACTTCCCACGTTGAACGCTGCAGGTAGCCAGCAGGCAGCCGAGGAAAAAAAAAAAGAAAAACTTGTAGAACGTGCTGGGGTAAAAATAGCCAGGCCAGTTGCAGCAGCAACAAATTTTCAAGTTTAAATCTAAATGTGGCAGTAAATCGTGCCTGGCCGGCAAAATGAAGATGAAGATACTGCCAAAGTCCAAGCTCCAAGAAGCCCGGCTCTTTCATAGAAATTAGAAGCGTGCTGAGGGTAGACTCTCTGCGGATGGTAATCATCGTTGTAATCAGCTCTTTTCTCTCTCTTTAGCTTTTTTGAATGGGGTCACTTTGGTCGAATAATGAACCGAATTTCCACAAAATGTTTGTCACACTTTTGACATTTGCACGACTTGCTTGTCTGCAGAAAGAAACCAAAAATAGTTCCCAAAATAAATGAATCGGGAATAAGAATTAAGACAGCAACTGCCATTCATTGGGCACGCAAGCCCAACCAAAAAAAAAGTGCAGTTCGTCTTGGTTTTGTCGTACCACGCGGCGTATGCGCAATGTCTGTTGACAAGCTTGATTTTAATTTACGTTACTGCAGTGAAATCGAGTGAGTTATTACTCTTGAAGAGTTTTAAAAACCATTAGTTCTTATTTATTTTACACTCAATAAACTCTCAATCGAAACTTTATTCAAGAAATTATTGACTTTTAAACTTTTCGAGCCCTGGAAAGTGGGGCGCGACTTTTGACGCACTTTGCCAAAGTTCACAAGTCTTAGCAAAAGTTAAGTGTCATCTTAAAAAGAGGGTAAAGAGTATACAAAATAGGGGGAAAAAAATAAGACAAGTGAACTATCTACAGAAACGAAGAACCAACAGACCGGCATTTGGCTGGCTGTTAAATTTAAAACTTTAATGTCATGCACGAAGGAAAATGTGTGGAAAATGCATTTGCGTGGCCACCACATGGCAACACATACTAACTATATGCAACACGAAATCATCAGCTTGTTGAAAGCAAAGGAAAAACATATAAAAAAAAACATAAGAGGGAGAAGAAGAAAAAAGCTAAATAAAACGGCAGCGCGAAGCGCGAAAATATCTCAAAACAAACAGATGCAGATGCGGCGAAAAGCGGGAGGAAAATCGGAGGAAAGTGCACGTAAACAGAGATAGGCAAAAGCAGCTGAAACAGAGAGGGAAAAACAGAAGAAGAAAAAAAAAAAAAAACAATATTTCCGCATTCCTCGCCGCTAGCAAACCGGGCAAACATATTTGACAAAAATTCGCTGCACCAACTTTCAGGGTAACCAGCTAGCTAGCTAGCTAGCTCATCTAACCCAAATTCACTTTTTTCTTTTTGTTACATTTTTTTTAAAAATTGGCAAATCAGCGAGAGAGAGAAAAAAGAAGTTTGATTCCAGCGAATCTGCAACTCGTTTCGATTGGAAAGTGTTGCCAATTTGCTCAACAACGCCGCTTGCTGTTGTTGTTAACTTTAATTGTGCGCTTTATTAGCGCAATTTATGCCTCAGACTCAGACTCAGGCTCAATGCTCCCACCTCTCCAACCAGCGCCGGCTCGTGCTCTGCATCTTATGGCTTCAAACTGAACTCCATCATTTCGATTTGATTCGAGTCCATTCAAGTCTTGATTATTATTTCTCAGTCATTACAATTTCATCTTATTTACGGCAATTACGCTCTAAATTCAATTGTTATGAAATTATTATGATTTATGCACTCTAACATCTACGTGTATACCCCCGAAAGATATCCGTGAAACTTTTCAATCCACCCATGGATCAACCCAAGCCATAGAAAGTAGAACAGGGCACGAGAGTGAGAAAAGCGTCAACCGAACAATGGCAAGGCAAGGCAATGACAAAAAAAAAAACACACACAAAAGCCAACAAGCCGAAAATGAAAACTGAAAATGAACAACAATCAACCGAAAAGTTAAATGATAAAGTATACCCATTATCTGGGATAATCTATTCTGACGGAAATCAGTTCATTTTATATATATTTCAAGCCCTTATCTAAAACTTGACTTGAAAATCAATTCAGTTCGTGTCTCTTAATATATAAATATTATTTAAACTACTAGGTATCCAAGCAGTCGCATCAAAAACTGCACTCACTTTTTATTTTTTACGAGAAATCACATGACAATTTCAAACCAAGTTATTATAATATTGTTATACGACTTAATTTGCAAATAAATAAAAAATAAATTGAAGTATATATAAGCATGTATTGTGCCATTTCCCAGGGGGTGGGTGGTTCAAAGGGGGGCCATGTACCAACACACATGTGTGTGAATCGCTGAAGGTGCGAAATTTCACAAGTCAGAAATACAAAGAAATAAAACTGGCTAAAAGTCGAATGTTAAACAACAAAAGTTAAGCACAAATAACGGTCTTTTTAGTTAACTTTTTCAGACAGGAACTCAAGGTTAATACTATATAGTATAGATATATACACAAACTGCACTCTATTATTCCAACAGTTGTGCCAAATGCATTGGCGTTCTGAGCAAACAAAACAATAACTGCCATGAATCGGGAAAATTGCGCAAATTAATGAATCAGGCCGCTGAGCGACTGTCAAAGCACAATGGAAAATTCAAAGTAAAAAATCAGCTGATATTGAAGTACTCAACAAGACAAACAATTGGGTATATATCTAAGAAATCTTAATTGGTTTCGGATGTCGTCTATGATAAGGTTCTCTATAAGGTGTGTTCAAGTCAGGTGTCTGAGGGAACAACTTCTCTCCATTTTGATCAAAATTGTTAAGCCATTTCGTTCAGTTTTTTGATAAAAATTTTTAAAACTTTTTCGTTAGGCCTTTGAAATTTTTTCAAAATTCGGAAATACAACGGAAACCTTTGTCGGAGGACTGTCCTCTGTTTTGTAAATCGTTCATGTTCATGTTCCCCATTGTATTATAGATTTCGTTGCTATGCCTGCAATTCCAAGAAGGTAAGTCCTTAAAGATTTCAAATCTCAATCTCTTTACTAACCAAGTAATCTTCTCCAGGAACCACCAAAGTTCCGACGGGATCGTGGACCCTTCCTCTCCCAGCTGGACTACCAATCACGTCTTCAGTTCGAAACTCCAGCTCTGAAGGTACCCCTGACGAGTATAATATGCACCATTGGACCCTCATCTAACTGTCCGGAAGTTCTCCTGGAACTCATCCGTGCAGGTATGAGGGTAGTCCGTATCAACTTCTCTCACGGAAACCATGATTGTCATTGCCAGTATATTCAGGCGGCACGTAAAGCCATCTCTATGTATGTTGAGCAAACGGGTCTGCCCAGGACTTTGGCCATAGCTTTGGACACTAAAGGTCCGGAAATCAGAACGGGGAAGATCTCCGGTGATTGTGACATCCAACTTCAGGAAGGTGACCAAGTCATTTTGAGCACCAAAAAAGAGCTGAGGGAGAACTGCACCAAGGAGAAGGTCTACGTAGATAATCAGCAACTACCTGGCATTATTAAGCCAGGAAATCAAATCTTTCTGGATGAGGGTTTAATTTCCTTGGTGGTCCATGAATCCAAAGGCGAGGAGGTGATCTGTGAGGTACAAAGTGGTGGAGAACTAGGCTCCCACAAGGATGTCAATCTACCGGGTACCACGATAGATCTTCCCTCCATTACTGAACAGGATAAGTTAGACCTCAAGTTCGGAGCGGAACAGAAAGTGGATATGATCTTCGCGTCATTCATCCGCGATGCCAAGGCTGCGAACGAGGTCCGCCAGGCACTAGGATCGTCGGGTGATCACATCAAGATCATCTCAAAAATCGAAAATCAAAAGGGTCTTGCCAATATAGACGAGATAATCCGCGAATCCGATGGCATAATGATAGCTCGCGGCAATATGGGCATCGATATGCCAATAGAGGATGTGCCTCTTGCCCAGAAAACCATCGTGGCCAAATGCAACAAAGTGGGAAAACCGGTAATCTGTGCCGCCCACATGATGGATTCGATGAGGAACAAGCCGAGACCGTCACGTGCCGAAGTCTCGGATGTGGCCAATGCAATCTTGGATGGATTTGATGCCGTTATGTTGTCCGACGAAACTGCCAATGGCAAGTATCCGGTGGATTGTGTAAAGTCTATGGCCAGGATCTGTTCCAAAGTAGAGTCGGTTTTATGGTATGAAAGACTCCAGTTCAGCCTCAAGAATGAAATTCGGTCCTGTCCAGATTACATTTCATCGGTAACCTCGGCGATTGCGGAGACAGCCACGGTTATCCGAGCCCAGGCCATAGTGGTGGCTTGCCCGTGTTCCATAATTGCCCTGATGATCAGTAATATGAGACCACCCTGTCCCATTGTGATGCTCAGTGGCTGTCAATCCGAGTCCGCCCAATCCCTGATCTCTCGAGGGGTTCACCCAATCCTGGTTGAGGAAATGGTTAACGGCAGCTTGAACTTTCGTTGCATCATGCAATCTGGCCTAAAGCTAATGAGCAAATTGGACATCCTAGAACCCGGTGAACAGGGAACGGTGGTACTAGTCAATGCCATGTCGGCAGAAAACATAACCTTCCGGCTAGATTCCTATCGACAACAGACTAAAGCTGAGCGAGATGAAGAGGAACGCTGTCGGAAATTGGCCTTTGAGCAGCGGTGCAAGGAGAAAGCTCAAAAAGAGTCTTGCCAAGAGCCCAAAGAGCCGGAAGAATGTGTGAAGAAGTGTGAGCCTACCGTAAAATGTTCCAAGCCGGAAGAAAAACCAAAAGTCTGCCCTAAGAAAGAATGTCTCAAAAAGCACAATAAAGAATCAAACTGCTTGAAAGTTATAGAAGAAAGCCGTGCTCGAGAAGAAGCTAAGAAGAAACGAAGAGACGCATCTAAAAACGCAAAATCCTTTCCGACAAACTGCATGAAATCCATGGAAAATAAATGTCCTAAAAAGGAGGAAGAAGCCTCAAAATGCTCGCGGCTTGAAAACCAAAAACAAACCAAAGCTGAAAATAAATGTGAAAAACAATCTGAAATACCGGAAGACAGCTGTGAAAAGTGCGAGATGGAAGAAAAGACCATTGCCTGCCCAAAGAAAGAATGTCCTACACAGGACACTGAATCCTTGATATGCCTAAAGCTGAAAAAAGAAAGGCAAGCGCAACAGGAAGCTGAACGGAAGCGGAGAGAAAAATCTAGAAAGAGAGAAGAGACCCTTAGAAACCGCCAGGCGAAAGAACGGAAACTAGCAGAAAAGTGTATGAAACCGAAAAAAAAGAAATGTCCCAAAAAGGACGAGGAGGATGAGGTCTCAAAGTGCTTGAATCTAAATGTACAAGCACAGAAGAAACAGAAAGCTGAGAAGGACCAAAAGTGTGAGTCTGAAAGTGCAAAAAATAGCTGTGCGGAAAAAGAAAAGCCAAGTGTTGGCCCAAAGAGAGAATGTCCTAAGGACATTTTAGCCTTGAAATGCTTGCAGCTAAAATGTGAAAGAGAGGCGAAACTAAAAGCTGAAAAGAAACGAATAGAAGAATCTAAAAAGTGTCAGAAAAATAAAAACACGAAGAAGTGCATTTTAACTGAAGTCCGTGTAAAATCGGGAGAAAACCCAATTGTCTATCCGAAGTGGGAATGTCCCAAGAAAGACAACAAAGCTGAGTTAGCCGCTAGGAAGAAACAGAGAGAAGAATGTGCAAGACCCTGCGAAGTGAAACGCAAAGAATGCAAGACCCTAAAATTGGAAAACTGCAAGCTAAGAAAACCCGAAAAGACACTAAAACTGGTGAACTGCAAGCAGCTGTGTAAAAATACTAAAAAGGTGTGTTTAAAGTACGATGTGAGTAAGAAGATACAATTGTATCTATGTCAAGGATAGAATCATTGCCGTAAGAACATTCTCTATTGATTTATCAGATATTTATTAAGGCGTGTTCGAAACATTAATCATACATAAAAAAGTGAAGGGGGTTAAAAAGTGAGTTTAGTTTAATTTTAGAAAATTCATTAGGCTTAAGAGCTAAAAATATAATCATAGTGTTTAATAGAGAATAGTAAAAATCTCGAAAGCCATAGGAAAACGTTTCCCATTAGTTTTGCTCTCCATTTTGTTTCTCTCTGCTCTTTTTTTTTTATTTCCAGATAAAGCAATTAGCAAACGAAAAGAAAACAAAAGTCCAAACCCAAATGGAAAAATAAAAATAAAACAGCAAAAAAAGAAAGGCAACCAATGGGGTTGAGAACTTAATTAGCTAACATACGTTAAAGTTCTGTTTTTGTTTTTTAATTTAACTGGAAATATGAAATAAACAAAGCTTTTGACGACAAATTTCACCAAGCACAATAAAATAGAGGTTTAAAAAAGAGACTTAAATCAAACAATAACATAGGAAAAAGCATACAAAACGCAGCCAAAAAACAATTAAAAATGCCAACAGAGCAGTGCAAAAGTCAATCAAAGAAGCCAAAGGCACACAGATACTATATACTAGTACCCATACAAAGTGGGAATACAATAATAATTGCTATATGGCAAACCGACTTAGTTCGGGGGAAGTTAAACTGAAAAACCCGCATGGAAATGCCTGAAGTTGTATAATATATATATGCAGAGATACTCGTATATAGCTACCCAGAGAGGGGTGTGCTTTCAAGCGAGTCAAGACCGTGCATAATCAATCCGAAATGAATGACACAAGTGAGTCAAGTAGAACTCTACGGCTAGGAATAATAACAGTCTCTTAAGATCTCTTAAATGTGGTACCAAGTCGTTGGCTTGCATACAAATTACCATCTTGTAACAATTAAAAATTAATCACTAGTTAGTTATCTTCTTAATTAACAAGATAAACATGGTGAGTAGGGAAAGAGGAATGGCAGCGTTGTGTCTTGGTCATTTTCAAGCTAGTCTATGTAATTAGCTGAGTAAACGCCCAAGGTTATGAGAGGGGGGGTTAGAGGGTGCACTTAGAGGGTTGAGTAAAGAAAAATTGCAGTGCAAATATGCAGGCAGGCAGGCAGGCATGGATTGGGATTGGGATTGGGGTGGTAGTGGGTTCATGGGATCATTAAATAATTCGTGTTGGGCAAGGTTATTAGCGGAATGCGGGTGTATAAAAGGTGGATGAACTCAGAATGAAAACTTTCAAGTATAGGAACTATTGTTTATGATTGTTAAAAACAAACGATTGACAAGATAAATGTTTATAAAAATGAAATATATATTTTTAGAGTATATATAGTATAGTCATGCTAGTATATCTCCTAAATTGACAACTATAAATGCCAGATTTCCCTTTTTATAAGTTTTCTTTCATACATAAATAAAATTTTCAATGAGAATTGTGATTTCAAAGGTTAATATTGATGCAATATTGAAGAAGTTGTTAAGTTAAGTTACTTATAAAACCAAATACTAGACATATAGTGTAATCCCTAACTTTATTATTCACATTTTATTATGTTGTCACAACAGTTCTTCCTAGTAAATGTCTTATTCATAAATAAGGTTGACGCATTAGTAGTAGTATCGTTTCCGTAACTATTTTTGCTTTTTGCTTTATAGAGTTTTTCATTAAGCCGGGAATTCCCTTTTTTCTAAAAAGCTCCCATACACCTTCTCAAAGCCCATTTATCACCCAACCATCTCAAAACCCAAACCAATCGATTATAAAATCGGATTTTAGCTTCCGCTTCCAGTAGAGTATTAAGAAAGCTAACATAGAAGGAATTCAATTTATCAAAAAGTATTTAGGTTATATGAACTAGATGATAGGCTTGGAGATACGCACCATTTATCTAGTTAAATCTCATTTAAAACAGGTCTCGGCTAGAATGTAGAAATCGCTGTACAGCATGCCTGTTGGTCGGTTGTCCGAAAATGAAAATTGATTAATCCAAATGAATGCGCTGCGTTGTCTAAGTGGGTTTATGTTGGGTTTAATTCAGTGATATATAATTTTGATTTCTCTGATATGTCACAAGTCACTTTTCATTTCATTTTTTTTGCCAACACACGAAGATAATTTATTTTTCTTTTTTTTTTTTTGATTTTGCTATGGGGGACTTTCGGGTTGTTGCGTTAAAAATTTCACTTTTAGTGCCGGGGTTTCGTAATACCTGGGCGTAAAAACTAGATATCTTTGTATATTTATATATTGATATTATTTAGTATGCAAAAAGAGAGTCGAATCTCTTGGTTAGCGAGTTTAGAGCGAGCGACTTAAATGATTCCGATCCGAAAATGTAGAACGCGATCGAAAAGCGCGTCTTCGCAGCACACACAAATATACTACAGTAAACAACGACACTCGAAGCACTCGCGTTGAGAAATATAAAGGTTGTGATGTGATTCAGCTCCCCGGAGATCAGATGACGCAGAATCTGCTCTTTGTTTGGGGCCCTTGAAAGCACTCGTTCTTTCTTTGCTTTTTTATCTTTTTTTTGTGGATTTTCGTGTATATATTTGCTTACAAAATATTGACACACGTGTGTGCTAGGCGGCAGAAGAATATTTATATATACGTGTATCTTGCAGATACAATTTCAGTACTAGATATGACGAAAAAAATAATCCAACAAAGCGGTAACGCGTTGTACGCGGCTCTGCAATTGAAATGAAAATAAAGTCAGCGAGAGACCAACAGCTGCTAGTCGATGGCTGAGTTTTGCTGAATAAGATACTTTTAGAGAGAGAGAAAGAGAGATTGAGAGAGAGAGCAGTAGTGAGCAAGAGTGAGACTCTCTAGCGGCTAACTGCTAGCCCTGACAGCTGCTAGCTCTCGTTTGCCATGAGTCATATGAGCGCTGAGTGAAAAACACAAAAGAAACTTGGTCTTACTTGGGTTTCCAGTTGAGTTTTTATAGGAATTTGGTTTTAAAATTCATATTTTCTTAAATATAATCATAAATATATAGAAATAATATACAGAAAAGTATCTTTAGACTATTATTTCTTGACAAACCAAAACCTTTTCCTGTTAATTATCATTTTGAGTGAGTAATTCTCATTCAGCCGGCTGAATAAAGAGCACTCAAACCCGTAGAGTTAGTATGTAAAACTCCAAAGAGAAAGAGCATTTTCAGGCACTTAAGAGCATTATCTCATATCAATATACAAACTGCATCTGCTGCATCATCATTTTCGGCTTCTTATTTTTGAGGATCCTATCATCACGAAGGTTATTTTTCCACGCGCTCTTGTTTTTATTTGTTTACGCACTCTGTTTGTTAGGTGCGTTTAATTTCTAGGTAAACAATCGGCACTTAGGGCGCCCGCTTAGATGTAATCAATTACAGATAATTAAGACAGAACTCCACGAGGAGTATAAAAGAAATAAAGAAATCAGAAGAATGCAAGCGTGTAAAGTGTGGCAAAGGGTAATGCACTGGGCCAAAGACACAGAGCAGACATCAGACATCAACATTGGACAGCAAAAACATTGTTAGAATGGTTATCTAAGGATAAGACTAGAAGATACTTAGTACTCAGAACTTATTGTATTCATTGTAGAAAGAATGACGATTACGAAAGGATTATATTTTGACTATAAGATTCTTTATAGAATCAGATTCAGAATCAGATTCTGAAGTTAGGAAACCGTTTTTCTGCTATATTTATAAGAAAGTTAAGCATCTTTATGTTTTACAACCACTATATATATCCCCTTACTTAGACATCCCAACTAATATCTAGTACACCCAACTAACTAGGAATACCCTGTATAACAACCGAGCACAACTCATTAGTTTTTATTATGGTTGTGTTGCCATTGGTGTTGATGTTGCAGTGCCATATGAAGTAGAGGAAAAGCCGCCATGGACAAGTACAGTAAAAGACCAAAGCGGGGAGACAACGCTCGAGTGACCCACTGTCCAAGTGGACGGCCTTTCTTATCTATCTTGGCTACATCTCTCTCTCTCTCCCTGTCTCTCTTTTCTCTCTCTCTGACTACTTAATTACACGCCAAGGAGTTGAGGCAGAAAGAGAGCTAAGAATAAAACTAATATCATAGTATATGGTTTAGGAGGAGGCACTCCACTCTACTCCGTTTGGGGTGCGAGTGGGACACATGAAGGGCAAAACAACGAGTTGCCATGGAACCAAAGCAAAAGGTTTAATCAATGACCCCCTCGAGCTCTTCAAAAGGAAAACAACTTGAGTTTGAGTTTTCGGTTATTTATGGAAATTGATAAGACAAATCGTATGGTTAAACCATTGGTTTTACGACCTTTCCATTTCTATTAACATTTCCCATTTTCCTTTTTAAGTGCCTTGCTATGGCTACCAGTATATCTATTCCTTATTCCTATATCTTAACATATATATATATTTTTTTATGAACAGAGATAATAGATATGGTATGTTATGTTTAATAAATCCATGAGGTCTATAAAATGTGTGAAGAGATTGCGCTGGAATCATTTTTCAACAAACAAGTTTGGGAAAATGATAAGAAAACCGAGATTTATACAAATAATCACAGAGAAAACTCAATAGCTAAGTTCATAAACAATTCAGGAATTTACATTTAAAAAGTAAAGATAAACTTTTAACTTAACACTTTTCAATGTTAAAAATGACAATCTATCTAGTTAATTCGAGTGCGGTAAAATTCCATCATAGATCAACATTTTTCTACCTAAATAATTAATTTAGCTGGGGGTTTTAGTATGTAGGTGCCATAAGTTGATAAGAGCTGTATTATTGCTTATCAATTTGCCATGTATGGGTGTGTGCGAGAGTCGCTATAAAAGCATTTCAACTAACTCGATTCAATTCAGTTTGCAAACGTTAGCTGACCGAGTAGTTTTCAACGGTTAAATAATTAATCTCAAAGGTGAGAAGCGACAAAAAAGAGAGAGTGTCACTTTGAAGTGCAATTAAATTCCGTAACTTGTATATAGAAACTTAATTATTATATACAATTCGTGATTGTTTATTTAATTATCAGCTGTGTAGCGTCGAACACAAAAAAAAATAATTGAAGAAAATTAAAAATCGTGATTATAATATTCTCATTTTCAGATGTCATACAAGGTTGAAGCTCTTCCCGATTCCTATGCCGATCTGGGCGAGGGACCCCACTGGGATGTGGACCGTCAGAGTCTGTACTACGTAGACCTCGAATCAGCCGGCATTAATCGCTACGATTATAAGCAGAACAAGGTATACAAGGCGAAAATCGAGGGCGAGACATTTGCCTCCTTCATTCTGCCAATTGAGAACAAACCCCAGGAGTTTGCTGTGGGTTGCGCTCGTCGCGTTGCCATCGTCCAGTGGGATGGAGTTTCCGCGGTGGCCAAGGTCGTTTGCACACTCTTTGAAGTTCAACCGGATTGGAAGGACAACCGTATTAATGATGCCAAAACCGATCCCAATGGACGTTTCTATGGTGGCACCATGATCACTACTGGTGACATCTTCACTCAATGGGTGGGTGAACTCTATAGCTGGCAGGCTGGAGGACAGCCTAAGGTCATTAGGACCAAGGTGGGCATCTCCAATGGTCTTGCCTGGGATGTCAAGGCCAAGAAATTCTACTTCATCGACACTAACAACCATGAAGTGGTAGCCTATGACTACAATCAAAGCACTGGAGCCGTGTGCAACCCAAAGGTCATCTTTGATCTAAGGAAAATCCGCCCTGAGGGTCCATTATTCCCCGATGGCATGACCGTGGATACCGATGGTAATATCTATGTGGCCACGTTTAACGGTGGAACCATCTTTAAGGTTAATCCAAAGTGAGTTTATGGTTAAATTTTCAAGTTCAAATTATTAATTGCTCTTTTTCTTTGATGAAGTACTGGCAAGATCCTGCTTGAGATCAAAATTCCCACCACTCAAATCACCTCGGTGGCCTTTGGTGGCCCAAACTTGGATATTCTGTATGTGACAACGGCGAACAAGTTCGACCAACCGAAGCCAGCTGGCACCACTTACCAGGTCACTGGTCTCAATGCCAAGGGCTATGCCGGCGTCAATTTGAAGATCTAGATTTTAGAGTACTTGTATAATAGCAATTAATTAAATGAGCAAGTAGTGTTTACTTGTGTATTGAATACGTACGAGTTTGCATTTGTATTTGTAAAGTAAAACTATATAAATCTGTAAAGATTACTAAGTAAAGATAAATCTATAAAACATCTAGTAGATCTATAATCCCCAATTTATCCCCAAGTTAATATATACAAATATGCATTAAAATTCCAAAAATAAATACAAAAAATATATATAAAAAGAAACTGATTGCTGTTTGCCCTTGGTGGATGTGAAACAATCCATCCAGTTCCAAGCGAGATAAGTGAGAACCGAACCACTTCATAAAGTCAATGGATTGTTGTGAAATTGATTTATAGCAAAGCTACGCCCTTGGTCTTATATTTGTAGGGCAAACGCTTCCGATTAAATTGGTATTGCAATGATATTTAGTTATAAACAAACACTAAAGTACTCTCCAGCGAGATATTACTACTTAATTGGGCAAATAGATAGGAGGCAGAAGATAGGTTTTAGGGGGCTCGTACTTCATGGTTTTTATTAGTTTGGATGTTGACGTTTCTGTGGAAGATTTTCGAGATCTAATCTTATCTTGATTAAACTGCAAATCATTTAGTTCCATATATCACTCCATTCACTTCAATCATATTTACTTTTCCATGAAATAAAAATGACTTTCGTTATCCTTATCCTTTTGGGAAATTTCGATAAAAGTTTGCATTGTGCCATAGAAAGTATTTTTACCCTCAGAACCATTCTTTCTAAACATTTGTTTTACTTTATCTTATCGCTGTTTGCATTTTCCAGATAGCCAAATTACCTGTAATTACTTAATTAAGCTAGCTTTGAATATAAATGTCATGAATATGCAGAAAAAGCCAATAAAAATGGCAAAATATGTCCCGCAAAATCAAAACATTTCCAATAAACAACAATCAATTGCTGCAAATACATGTCGTCCCAATAAATAAAATATATGAAAAGCAATTGAAAGAGAGCACAATATTGATTGTAAGTGAAATGTAAACTGTGGATGGTAGAAATTTGTGATGGGACACAAGGAGGTCCCAAAAGGCAAGTCCAATAAAAAACATATTTTCTACAGAAATGGACAGAAGAATGAAGGGCACGGGAGATGAGAGATCGTTTCGACAATTGTTTGCGCTGCACCCAGAAAACAATTGTCCCACAATATGTATAAGTAATAAAAGATACATTTATCCAGATACAGATACCATAACCATATGAGCATTGTTTAACAACACGAGAATGCCACACAGACTGATACAGGGATCCAAAAAGGCGAGCACATATGGCAGCAATAAACATCTAGAAAGACAAGAGAGAGATGAGGCTGAGAGCTGAAAACTGGGGACTGAAACCCTGCCACTTAAACCGCAATCAGAAACAAAATTGATTTAAATTTGAAAATGTAAACAACACCCGACAGAGAAAAGGGGGCTGATCTAACAGCAATGCAGCTTAATTGTATTATAACAACAACGGAGGCTGAAACTTCCAGTTCATGACCGACTGTGGTCACAGTGGGTCTGAAAAGTAAAGGCATAATTAATGCATTATTTTTACCTCTTAAGGCACCTTGAAAAGCTGAGGTTAAATATTGAAACAAGCAAGACAAAGGTTTCTCATGGTTTTAATAACATTTTTAAATTGAATTTTTAACTTAAATATCTTTATTTTCCACTTTTCAGTTATGTCCCAGTATTTATTAATTAAAAATCATTCAATGTTTCTCTAAAACTCATTTATTCTTATCACTGAGAATGTCAGAAGATTATATGATCCACTGTCTCTGGAAAATATCGCCCACCAACATTCCTATCATATCGAATGGGGCACGTCACATATGTATGATTACGCCACACCCACTAGACAGTTTTTTTTAGGGAAACCCACGTTAGAAAGCCAGTGGAAAGTGTCAAACAATCTGATCATCAAATTTAAAAAAGAAAGCATGAGAAATATACGTAAACAAAATATTTAAAATTCAAAGAAATTCCCCATTAAATAGAATAATAAAAATATATTGTTAGGTAGGCAATAAAAAAAGGTTTACAAGATATTACAACTATATGGAAATTAAATGATGTGAGCAAGTTTTATGTTCGGAAAAAAAGATTAACATGGCTTAGACAAGTCATTTTCTTTTCCAACATGTGACAAAAATGATAAATACTTATCAATTTTATGTTTCAATCAATTTATATCAATGATTAAGTTTTTGGTCATGTTTTCGTAATTTATGCATATTTTTGATATCTTATTAAAACAAATAAACCTTTGGAGGTCATAAAATATGTATTTGAGTTCAATTGTAAATATTTGTAAAACGTATTCAAGAGGAAATGCATCTCGGCACCCTTGATTAATCTCTAATTACAACTTTTTTGCATAATTTAAGGAAACTAACAATAGGATGTCTACCAGCATAGCTACAGATTTTTCCAGACCAGAAAAATAATGTGAAATAGCTTCGGGAAAAACCGAAAAGGCAAATAACAACAAAAAAAAAATACTAGCAAACATTTTTCGGGAGCTTTGTTGTCTGCTGCCTTTGCCGTCCGTTAATGAAGCTTATGAGCAGTGGCGCACAAGTCGCAACTCACTGAACTGCAACAAAAATAACAACCACAGGCACAAGTGAAGCGTTGCAGTGAGCAAAAGAGAGGGCAGACTGTAAAGTAAAGGTAGAAGAGAGAAAGAGAGAACGAACCGCAAGCGGGCGGGAACAAAAGGAGAGCTCTTCGCCAGTCAATGGCTGCACCTGTAACCACCTGCCCATACCGCCCAGGCCACCCCCTCTCGACCGCTGCCCCCTTTGTTCTCTCTTCCCTCTACCAAAGTGAGACAAAGCACAGTTACGCTCGGCTTTGGCGGTTGGCTCATTAATGTCTGACACGTTTGAGCGATCACCGCACTGCAGAAACTCGAAAAAATTTCTGATATAAATACAAAAACACAGCCGAAAAAAAACGCAGAGTAAACAATTTTTAAAAGCCGCTCATGATTAACATTAAAAACGCATTTTCAATGGATATCTGATTCTGCATGCACCGATTTCCGAGAGGAACAGACCAGTCAGATTTCGGTAGCCAAGCAGAACGTTTATAAATATATTACAGTAGATATCAGATATAAGAGATAACGGGGTGTGTTAAGAATAATGTATATATGTAGATAATGAATTCAGCAACAAGAATATACCTTCCTCACTATTAATAAAAGAAATAAGACTTTTTATGTCGATGTTTGCTTTTCTCCTCCCTTTTTATCTTAAAGTTTGATTATCATTTTTTTTATTATTAACTAGACAATAAGTTTAAAAACCTCTTCATTAAATTTAAGCCTAGGTTGCTTATAACCAGAGCTTACTGTTTAAGCAATGTATTGGGCGGGAATTATAAATTCTGAAATGACACGACCCAAGTTGCAAGTGCAGCGGAAGTGATCCATTACGCAAGTTCAGAACGGAAAGAGCGGGTGCGGTGGCTCGAAAACGAGACATGGAGAGATCAAGGTAGACAATGTTATTATAACCTTTATGTGTTTATTATAATTTTTCAGTTATATGTAAATTAATCCAAAGATCTGGAAACTACATATGTTAACTATAACTAATAGCACTTTTCTTGGTGTTTCATTAAAAGTTCTGGTTAACTGAGAAAATGTAAATTTTAAGTAATAATATGATTACTCATCGGAAAGACTGATCTTTTGAATGGACAAGTAAAAAATTCCACAAAAACCGCAACTTTGTATTTTTCCCTTTCAAATTCTTTAAAAATTCCTTTTTCTTGGCCATTAAAAACTTACCTTCTGGCTAAAAGCTGCTGCCTCCTTGGCCACGCCTACACCATCCGCTGAGTGGGCGTGCGTAGATGGGGAAGTCGCATAAACGAAAAGCGGCAGCGAACTAAAGTTCCGTTTGTCCTGAAAGCGGCGGCTAAAGAATAACGGTTTGTGGCACCCCGCTGCAGCGGCTAAGATTGTTGTTGCCTTAGTAACATTAGATTTTGCAGCTTCTTCATTCCTGTGCGTATGGGTTAATGTTGTTGTTGTTGCGGCTGCTTCAGTTGTTGTTGTTTTTGTTGGGGTCGCCATTGGCGTATCGCAATTTTCTCGTATTATTGCTGCTTCTTCTTCTTCGCTGCACGATGTTGTTGTTTGTGTTTTTGTTGTTGGCATGACTACATGTACTATAAATCGAATATAAATATATCGACGGAGGCGAAGGCGGGGGCGGTGCTGTGGGCGTGTCCCTGCAGCTGCTGGCGTCCTTTATTGTTGTTGTTCTTATAGTTGTTGTTGTTGTGCTTATTTAGGGCCTTATTATTATCCTCCTCCATTTTTTTGTTGGTAAAAATTCCGCGGAACTAAACCGCTTGGCAAATAGATTACTACCACTTGCACATTATCGCGTTTCTTTGTTTTTTGTATTTCCGTTAAGTGCAAAAATAAGGTAAAAATTCTTGGCCATACAAAAGTGTGAGTTTTGTGTAAAAATGCACAAAAAAAACGCACGAAGCCGATTGCGGGGGTGGGAGCGAGACGGCGATATACGAGCGAGTCCAAAGCGTCACAAAACGATTATAAACAAGCCAACGAACCAATGGAAACACTTGCACAACCCTAATTCAGCCTAAATACAAGCAAAACAGTCACTAATATTAAGTAAATTACTTAATTAACAAGCACTTTTTGTTTAAAATATTTTCAGACAGTGGTAGTTAGAGTTGGAACCCAAATCGATGTTTATGCGATACTACCGATAGTTTTCGGAAAGGTGGCAGTATCAATATTTCGCCATCAGCTCGATATTTTTACAGTTCTCACTAGTAAATGTTGTTTACACAGCAGTACTTCTGCCGCAGTTTGTGAAGCTAATGTATATATATATATACAAAAATTATTTAGTTATTAGTTAGTAGTATCAGAAATTAATATTCAATTTAATATAATTCCTGGAAAGTTAAGGAAAGAGCAAGCACGTCCAAGTAAATTCTGTTAATTCCAAAAAACGCCTTTAAAATCATAATCGTTGATTCCCTGGAACGATATTTTTAATATTATGGTATAGCTATTTTTTGAGATTCGTTCCCAAATCAATGACATGTTCAAAAACTGAAAATATGCACTATCGCTCTGTATATTACCATCTCACAGTTATCGAGCTACTATCGATAGATAAACAGTGCTAGTAAGTGCGGTAATTATCAGCCTTGCCAGATCGTTGAACAATATAAATTTAAATTTAAAAATTAACGATTTGACACTTATGCAACACAGTAGCTTGTCGAAGGTATTTCAATAAACCAGATCACCAACAGATAAAAATTCCTCAGTAAAAACATTCCGGCAGCTAGCAACACGTAGTGTGGTAACAAATCAACAAGCAAATTGCACAGTTTTATTCGCACGCACCAGCATAGATAGCCACAAGACACCTACTTGCTGCCGGTAATCGTACCCCTTCGAATTGAAACCAATAAAAGTGAGTATATTTCGATTTTGTTGAATAATTAAAAACTAATTAATTGATTTTCCCCCCACTATCAAAGGCGTTGCCACCTAATCGATCTGGCCATCCCGCATGAAAAGGTTATATGAACCGGTGATGTTCGTCTAGCTGGACTGCTCTATTTCGACCGCCGTTTTGCAACACCGCCAACAGACACACACACTATTCGTCTTGCTTGCACGCCCGGTTTGCCAAAGGGACAGTCATTCACTGCGGTCAGCTAAAGTACTATTATCTCACTTGCACGCGCGTTCAAAAGGCCCCGCATTGATTGGGAAAAAATAATCATCGCCGTAGTCTTCGTCGGGTCGCCGTTTTTACTCGCAGTGCGCTGGTGCTGCTTTATTTCGAGACAAGGGACACAATCGAGAGAGCCATATTTAAGCATCAAAGTTCTTGAGGCGCAACGCAGCTTTTGTGTTTCGTTTTCGTTCAATTCTAAGCGAGCAGGAGATATATTGAAAGAAAAATTCCCAATTCTGTGCAAAGAACAAAAGAAATACGCGAGACACCAACACCAGCAAACAACCATCCAACCAAACACACACACACACAACCCAGAAAATCAAATTTCAATCAGAAAATGGCGTTAAAAAGAATCAATAAGGTATGTGAAAAAAAAAACTAAAAACTCTACGAAACGGGTTTAAAAAAAAGAACATTTTGGTTTAAACTAAACACAAAGTAGAGACAAATGTGAGCAGACATAAAATTAGTACGGAAGCGAAAAATTTTATGCAAGAAATGTGAAACGTAGGTACACGACGGAAAAGTAAAAATCCACGAACGGCAAAACGAAAAGAAAGAAGCGTGCAAAAAAAGAGGCAAGGGGGAAAATAAGCTGTGGCGGCGTTAGCTTAATTAATAAGTTTCTAATTAGGAGATTAGAAATTTTTGAGGGTGGTGAAAAAGGGCTAAGGATGTGTGTGCGTGTGGTGGGCAAGGCAACGTGTGGTGCAGTCATCGTTTCCGTTACTTTTGCGAGTGTGTGTGTGCGATGCGTGTGCGTGAAAGTGCAATGCAAATGTGCATTGTTTGTGTGCGAGTGTATTTGTGCGTGTGCGTGTGTGCCGGGCACCTGGATGCATTTACATTAATGCAACTATACGGCGGAGTTTTCACAGCTCTACGGGCGCTGTTACCCAATACACGCTGTACACGGCACTCGCATACAGTCTCACTCTCACCTTACACATACACAGACGCACACACTGCCATCGCCGCAGAAAGATCCAGCAAAAAATAAAACAGCAAAAGCAAGAAGCGTATAAAATTAACCTAACCCTACTTTTTGCGCTGATAATTCAGAAATAGTGTTGCCCCAAGTATATATATGTATTGAAATATTTATATATATATTTAGGTGGTGTGGCTATAGTGTGCGTGCTTCGATAATTATTTTTAAAGTGCTTGCGCGTCGTTTGTCCTTGTCCAGTAATGCTTTTTAACCCCTAATAGTGTCAGAATATAGTATGTTCAAGGTTCATGGCGTAAAACCCTTGAAACTTCTTGAAAAAAAAAACATTAGTAATATCTTGTAGTTGTGGAAATTTTACTTGGCGAATTGGGAGCTTTTTTTTCGTTTGCAGCCGGTTATCATAGTCATACCCCACACACCAATACATCAGCAAATACAAAGTCTCGCCATCACTTGGCTATGGCCATTGCATGCCGTCTCGCTCAGACCTTGGCGCCTTCCCTTTGCCAGCGACAGCTGAGGCCGCACTCGGTCTCGCTTTAGCAATGGGGCAGAGCCAAAGAGAGCGCAAGTGTGTGCGTGATTAGTGTTGCAAAACACTCGAAAACCAAAAGGGGCCCCAAATAATTGGTTATAAATTATAATTAAGCATAATTTACATACAAAATGAGCGGTGAATGCGGAATTTGTACATTATCTATGCGTGTGTGTGAGCGTGAGAATAATTTAAAAGCCTTATGTGTGTGTATGTGTGAGGGGGGTCTGCTGACTGTCTCGACGTCGCAGTTGCCATAAAGGCAGCACTGCCGGCGTCGGCGTCATGGCCATTGAGTTTTTCCTCGTTTTTCATAGATTTCCTTCTATTGTAAACTATTCCTGCCTGAACGAAAACGAAATGGCACAAACCGGAAATAAAAGTATATTTTTTAGTAAAAATTTAACAAATCACGCACACCCCTTTTTGTGGCAAATTCTTCAAGGTTTTTTTAAGTTGGCCTCATTTACCAAAAAAAGAGAGCTAAAGAGCGAGAGAGAATAGTCGGCTTAAACGCGGATCAAGCTCTCTTGAAATAAATACTGAAAGAAATGAAGTTTCAAACATATATCAAATCTTTTAATACACATGTAGAATTTAAAAAAGAAAAAAAAAACATGTGACTCTTAAAGAAATATCCATCTGTTCTTCAAATTTAAAAAATAAAGTTTAGTTTGTGTTTATTCACCTGGTTGATCATAAAAACAATATTTCTCTCTCGTGTACATGTGTGCGTGTTTGTTTTTGGTTTTAGCTTTATTTGTTTTGTCTTTTATGAGTCATAACTGCTCTGACTTCAATCGAAAAGAAATGTTACAATTTCTTGTAATTTATTTTTGCTCAACAGGTACAATTCCCGGAATGATGAGTGAGTGAGATGGGGCGAAGAAACACGGCGTTTTTTCTACTTTTCGCGACGGCTATTTTTTGTTGTGTTCCACTCAAATTTTGGGGTGCCGTTACAAGTACACGCACACTCTGAAGCTCTAGGCTTCTTTTCCTCTCCATTCTTCTCATCTTGCTTTTCCCTTCACCCTCTGAGCTGTGCTCTTCTTTCGCAGCTCATCTTCATTATTCTTTTTTATATATATATTCCTTTATTTTTTTTTTTGCTTGGGGTTTACCTTTTACACCTTATTCTCTCTCCCCTTTTATGCTAGTATGTGAGTGTGTGGCAGCTGTGATAACTGAAGAAGCGGCAGAGAGAGAGGAGCCGCTCAGTGTGTGCGTACGAGTGCAACAGAGATGGAGCGAGTGGGCGAGGGGTGGGACTGAGGGAGACAGCGCCATTTGTGGTCGGGCCAACGAACTTGATTTTTCACGTCTCTCCCTCTCGCTCGCTCACGCTTTGAACGCAATTCTCGCATAAAAATGTTTGTTTTTGTATCCCCATATTTCTGTTTTTAAATTCTGCATTTTAAATTTTACATCATTTGCATGCCAAGCACACTCATCTACATATACACACGCACACACACCCTCCAAAGTGCAGGAGATATCGTTGCATTATAGACCAAAACAAAAGAACCGACAACCGGAAAACATAAACGACTTGCAATGAAATTCCATTTTTGACTATTTTCCCTTTGGAAACTCTTTTGAGTAGTTCCTGGGTGCTACAAAGGCGGCTTTTGTTACCTTTGTCACCACTAAATGGGTTTCAGATCATAATTAGAGATATTTTATATTTATTTCACCGAATCAGGCTAGTTAAATAAACTAAAAACGATAGATAAAGCATGTCTAAAACTCAGATCACTTGGTAAAAGAAATATGAAAAACGGTTCGTTCTCTTAATGAAAATAGGATTCTTATAAGATTTTATTATATATATATACTTAAAATTTAATCACTAATCTATAATTTCTTTTGTTTAATAGGAACTGCAAGATCTGGGCAGAGATCCACCTGCACAATGTTCAGCCGGTCCAGTTGGAGATGATTGTAAGTATGGTTAATGTTATTCACCATCACCATGATTTGCAATGAGTCAACTTTATGTTGTGGAGCTATGAGTTCAGTTTTGATTTCACCATAACTTGTGGGAGCTGAGAAAAGGCAGAAAACAAGATGGGGAAACATTTTTGAGTTGCCAAATTTGAGTCAAGTTTTTTTGGTATTAAAATCAAAATATTAGAAAGTCATTTTTAAATTATGGAAATAAGAAAATATGATTGGTACTTCTGATATTTTTTAAATTAATAAGAAACAACCACTCATGAAATTCAAAAGAAAAGTTTAGTCAGATTAATAAAAATTCAAAATTATCTTTTAAGGCTCCATAGAGATTGAAAAGACCCCGGCGCAGAAACAGCTAAGAGAAATTCAAATATTATCGATTGTATATTACCACGTCACAGATTTCAATCGTGACTAAGCAAAATATGTTTATATATTGTTTATTCACCCTATTTGTTGTTAGTTTTTGTTTTTTTGTTGCAGCCTAAGTCCCCTAATTTGGGATTATTTTTCACCGAGTTTGGGGATTTGAGGTTCTTTATATTGTGATAGACGGCCTCAAGAACAGCTGATCGCCATGACTTGGTTCTGGTTTCATAGCTTGGCTTGTTCTGTTCTTTTGTTTTCTCATTTCTCGCTGTCTTGAACTCGATTCAAAAAACTCACGATGCCAACATGCAATTAGTCAACAAATTCACACTGGCTTTTGGATCAGATTCAGTTACGTTTATAACACGTGAGAAGCGATACAAAGACAAGACAACCGTTACTGAAAAGCCTCCAAAAGTAGTGGTAGAAGAGAAGAAGAAGAGGTACCAACCATATGGGGGTCGTTCGCAAATGACGTCACTTAAAAAGTGAAATCGGGTAATTACATAGCCTTGCCGCAGGTGATTTTCTATTAAAGAAAAGGTGCTCTGTTATACTTTTGTTTAAAATGAAATTTTAGAAGAAAAAAGAGGTCAACAAAGTCACAAAATTACTGGTTTCTTCACGGTTTTTAATGTTTTTATAAACTAAACTTCAAACTAAATAAATAAAACAAGTATTTTGTGATGTTGATTTACAAAAAGTGTAAATAACATATATTCTAAGGCTTTCCACATTCTTTTGTGTAACTTTCCTTGAAAGGTGTTAAAAAGATTTTGGAATCGCGCATAAAATATAATGATTTCAAGAACCCACAAAATGTTGTTACATTTTCTATATCACAGCATTTTCAAGACTTTTCTTTGTGTTGCATTTCCCTGTTTCTCTACAAAAGCGAGAAATGAACCCATCCAAGTTTCCGTGAGGCAATGAATAATGCTAATTATCATCGTTTGTTGATAATTACGGAGCACTGAAGCATTTCTCGATTTCCCATTATCGGTTATAATCGTCTATAACTAACTGGTTACATATATAACTCAAAGTGTTTTTGTATAAACAATTCGTTTAACTTGTTTCCGCAGTTGTTATCATTTTGGTTGCATTACCATTTGGCAACTCTCGAAAACCTTGGCACGAAAGTTCCACAAAAAATGAAGTAAAAGAAAGGAATTTGCAATAAAGGGCAGGAGCCCTATTTTGTAGTTGACGTAGCTGGGTGGGTGTAAATTTTCCTCCATAGTGGAAAGGAGACAACTCCATAGATGTTTTTTGCTCAGTGTGGGTTGGCTTTTCAATGTGTGATGAGGAATACCATTGAAATGGGACATTAAAAAAGAAACCTTATGATTTAAATCAATAACCATTTAAAAATGGAAATTGATCAAATGCTACAGAGCTAATAACCATGAAGGGATTGAGATAGTTAGTTAATGACTCATGTTGTATCATACGTAAAAGAGTTTTGTTACTGAAATTCAGGGTCTGACTAACTTTATTAGAAGAAAATCTTTTTATTTGGTCAATAAATGCCAGGACTAATCAAGCTCACTTATCTCCATTTCACTCAATCACCAGCTAGATATTCAAAGAACAACTAATAATATGTTCCAAATGTTTTTGTATAAAAGTAAATATTGTATTGCTTTTAGTTTACTATTTATCTTTCTCCCGGGGCTTTTATCGCCTAGCAGTGCCCAGAATTTATTGATTATTGTTTAAGTGGCATAATCAACATGGCTCGCCTGGCTGCAGTGATGAGATTACTTTTGTCTGAGCTATGGCAAATACAATGCCGGCTCCATTCTCCAGACCCAAACTCTGAAACTGCTAAATCGACAAATGAACATTTCGTGTAATTGGTCAAGGCAGCAACAGCAGCAGCAGCAGCAGCGGCAGCAGCTGGTAACCGAGGGCCAGTTCCCAGTTCTCAATACTCAAGTTCTCAGCCAAACAGAGAGGGGTTTCCCCAATCGTATTCGGTTTGGTTCCCAGGATGACATTGACAGCAGCTAGTGGCTCTGTTTTGGCCATGGTTCCGAGCCAACTGCCACACGTTCCGTGCTCTCTCTTCATGGGTTTGTCTCATGAGTACAAGGGATTATATGTATGCGTGTTTGTAGAAGGTACAAGGGTATAGGGAATTCGTGGACATATATATATATATACAATAAAACTCAAGGCTGTGCATGGCGAAAATGTAAAAATGATAATAAATTAAAAATGGAAAATTTTATTAAAGGAAATATTAAAACAGTCTTTAAGGATGTTAATATAAAGGAGGGTTTCCTTGTAGGGTTAAATATGAATGATTTTTATCTCAAAGTTATCTTTTAGACTTCTATATGAGAAAAGTAGAAAGTTAGAAAGTAATGGTTTCAGAAGACTTCTCATAGCAGGGGGGTATCATCTTATAGATGTAATCCACATACTTTAACGTTTTGTTTTTGTTTCATGGAGAGAGGCCATTTGGAGTTTTTTCTGCTGCTGACGTCGCCGCAATTGCTCGGTGCCAAGGCTCTTTGGCAGTACCGGCATTGTTGTGGTTGTTCTTTTGTGGAGGAACGCTAAAGGCATGGCACATGAGAAAGGAAGTGGGCTGGTGGGAGGGTGGCAGGTGCTGAGAGAGTGAGTTGCATTTGAAGTTAGGCGAGAGCGAGTTCATGCTGCAGTGTGAATGCACATATACAGTAAGGATTGACTCAGACACTAGGTAAAAGTAAACAAGTTAAGATATTGGAAATTTGTTTATTGAAAGTCAAATATATATACTAAGATCCGTCTAAATTCGCAAAAGAGTTAGTCTGTTTTTGATACAGAATGGGAATGGTATATCGACCTGTTAGGCCCTTAAAGGGATAAATTATGAAAACCAGAAAAAAAAGTGCTAAAAGTGTGTATGTTCTAATATTTCCTAGCATCTCATTGTTATTTCCAATATCCATTAAGTTTGCTCATTATGTACAATAGAACAGCTCCAAGGCAGATTAGGACTTAATGCAAACAAAAAAAACGATGCAAAGTTGCATTTTTGTTTCCACCACAGACTCTATCCTATTATCTCTAAACGCGTTCTGATAAATGTTTGACTTAATGTCTTTCCTTTTCACTTCACAGTATTTCTTTACTGAAGCCAAATAATGGGCCCGGTAAGAGGATTTTTTAAGATGAACTGGATGAGAACAAAAATGATTATAAATTGATTTGCTGTTTAATTTAAACCTAAACCTAATTTCTGTTGATTTATTGCAGGTGCATTATGGTTTTGTATCCACAATGCTTGATTATAGCATACCAATGGACTGTTATTACTTTAAAAATATAATGAACGGAAAAACTGCCGTACTTTATTTATTATTGCTGAGTGGAAACCTCAGTTGATAATAAGAATGATGAATAATGTAAAAGATTAGTCTGAATAGAGGGAAGTTTATATAGTAGATTTGTAAAACATTTATAACATTTATTTAAATAAATGTTTACTGACAGATAATTTGATTTTTGTTTGTATATTAATCAATTTAAACTTTTAAATAAATGAATTTGTCGGTAATCTTTGTTAATTTTGAATGCAACAATATAGAAAGAAACATATATATTACAGAGATTTCTGAATTAAAACCAAACGTAATAACTAATGAAACTATTTGATTTGAAATTTTCAATATTTGTCAAATGAATTGCATTCCCATTTTCACAAAATCAGAGTAAACCAAACAGCAAATAACATGTTTAGATGGATATCAACTGTCTAGCTTACATTGATGACACATTATCATCATATTTCATTGGACAGCCCTTACCAAGGAGGTGTATTCTTCTAACTATACATTTTCCAAATAGATTATCCTTTAAACCACCCAAAGTGGTTTTTTAAATGGTATATATACCATCCAAACATTAACAGCAATGGATTTGACTTGTCTGATATATTAAGCATCTCAGGTCGCCAGCACACCATTTCAAAGGTGAGTTTTGTAATTTAAATATTTATAACTCAAATTAAACGTGACAGGAGCAAATATTTGTGTTTTTCTCTTCAGCTCTGTTATCAATTTGCCTCTACTCTGTGATCCTAATCCAGATGATCCGCTGGTTCCATCAGAGATTGCCAGAATGATATGAAACCACTGGAAAAGACAACAACCGGGCAGGTCGAGAGTGGACTGTAGAAAGTGGCGTTATGGTGATGTTCCAGATTGCAGTAGTCCAACAATCAAATTCAACATCAATAAATATGAGCAGTGAAAGCAAATGATGTAACAGCAACAGCAGAAGGTGCAATAACAACAACATCAGCAGCAAAATAATAACAGTAAAATAAAGATAACATCAACAATTTACAATAGTCGATTCAGAGTTGCAGCCGCGGCATTGTTAATTTGGTAATTGCCGCTGTGGTTGACCAATAATAATAACTACTAACATCAGCAAATCGCGGCCATGAGCAGCAGCTACAACCACAACACCAACAATTGCCACAATTAACATCAGCAGCAACCCGCAGTAGCAATAAGGACTCAGCAGCTGCCGCCATCAGCCCAGCGTTGACGCTGCTGCCGGCATCGCCCCTGCATCGGCATTAGCATGAAACATAACATTGGCAGCGGTAATAGTGGACTGGAGGCCTTGCAGCAGAAGCAGTAGCAACAACACTGAAGCCGCAGTAGTAGTGCAGCAGGAGCTGGCAAATTGGTGGACTGAATGATGTGAGCCGGTCTCGAACAGAAACAGAATAGCATAAACGGAAGATTTCGACACACGAAAAAATTATAAAGATGAATATTGAAAGTTAGACAGCTACCAACAACAGCATCAATATTAATAAGTTTAAACAGAAGAAAACAAAACTACAAATAAAACTAGTTGGAAAATTATTATTATTATTATTATATTTATAGTAGAACTCTGAAAATAAAATTCTGTGTACCAATTTAATATGAAGAAAAGGGTGAACGAAGGTAGTAGGCTTATTCACTTCCTCTGATCAATTTGAAATGTGTTTGTAACTAAAAGGTTTTAGCCTTAATTCCTATGTATGTTTTTGACAAATTAGTAATAATATTTTGACAGTCTGAATGTTGTAGACAAATGTTTGTATGAGATTCCAATGGTTTTGTCCCAAATGTCTGGGGAAACTGGTTCAGATGTAAAAATGTTTTTTAATTTTGGTAAACCTTATTGACGCGATTTCCCGTTCTTAGTTGCAAATGTGTACATTAAATAGATGGGATTCGTTTATTGGTTTTTCATTTATTTGATTTTGATTTTAAGAACTCACAAAGTTATATCCGCCGTTATATTTTTTTCTTTCCTAAGTTGTTAACGGTTATCTGGCATAATTTACTGTTTTTAAAGATCTGAGTTGGTTATTCCTAATTTTAATTGATATTCTTAGCGAGTTGGACTAATTTTAGATTTATATTCTCAAAGAATGAAACAACTTTTAATTGACAACACTGTTTGACTCTGAAATGGGTTGCTTCAAGAGCTTTTTGTTGTGAATACAGCTATCATCTATAGCTGGCTTACAATGCCAAGCAGACAGCTTTCTTAGGTCAATAATTACATTTTTAATGCATATTTTTATTACGTATTTTTTTTTGGGTTTACGGAGGGACTTAATGATGCATAAGGGCAAGGAAATTTCTTAACTCAATAATTTGTTGTATCGCTGTTATATCAGCTTAAGGTTGGTTGAATAAGTATAAATATTCAGAGAAAGAGTGTTGGAATTTACCGCAAAGGTCGTGGAAAAAGAAAATATTCAGATAAGCAAGGCATGAAATATGGAAGGGCTATGAAGAAGGCAAGGAAAATATTCCACAGACTATTGACAATTAAAATCAAATCAAACACGTATATAAAATTTTAAATTCTAAACAAAACTTACAGTGATGTGCAAAATCATCTTAAAAGATTTCAAATAAAGTTACCACTCTTTCGCATATTCTTATTACCTTTTTAAGTATATTTAGAAGAGATCTTTAAATATTCAGTAAACGCTTTTAAAGTTCCAGTGTAAAGATCTCTGATGGCGGCAACGACCTAGAGCATGCTAAATTAGCATTTTAATCAATTCAAATATTTCAAATATAAAAAAGAAGAATCGGTATGCTCGTCGTCGCCGAAAGTTTATTTGAGCTTTTGCAAAGATCTGTCTCTTGGGAGCTCGTCTTTCTTCTTTACGGCAATTTTTGGTGATGTCTTCTCTCTTTCTTCCAAGGCAATGCAAACACACTTAGGTCTGTGAATATGTTCATTTGATATTTTGCCGCGTGTTGCGAGTGGTGTCTGCGAGAACTTTTTCAAAGTCAGCGAAAATTCCAATTCGAATTCCCCGTGTGTGTTGTGTGGCCGCTAAATTCAAAGTAATCAAAATCAATTGAAGTTATCTGGATCTTGGGGACCCTGGGGGGAATCTCAATTAACAAGTGCAATATGTTTCCGAGAGACACGTGCCGCGATCAAAGTTGTCCGTTTGGTCGATTGATCTGAAAAGTTTTAGAAATTTAAGTATGCAAACGGTTTTGTGAGAGAAATGTTTTGGGCCATACAAGAAATATATAAAATATTAAACTCAAAGTTGCAGTCGTGGAAACAAAATTGCTTTTCGCTAAAACACACAGAAAGAAAACATTTTTATAATTGAAAGGAAATGGATCATTTTAATGAGGATTTTGGTTTTGTGTTTTGAAAAGAGCATTTTTGATAGTGTTCTGAACAAAAGTTTTAAAATCTCTAACAGTTTACAGGTTCAAACCTTATAAAGATTAAAGATTACTTAGATTATTCAACTTTTTGATTGTTGCTTTTTGTGATAATCATCTGTTGAGCTGATCCAAACAAATATTGCTTGTGATGCTAATTATTAACTTCATCTTAAATTATATAAATTTGAAATGTTGCGATCTTGTTAAAACTCTCTTAAATTATTGTTTAAAAATAGTTAACTTTGAGACCTTTTGTGGAAAGAAGCCTCTTCCAGCTTATAATCGATTGCTTTGAAGAAAGTCCAAGCCGGCAAAAGAGTGAAAAGAGTGAGAGAGAGGAGAGGGAGAGTCAGAGAGATGTGGAAGACTACAAAAGAGAGCGAAGTCGTTGTCTTTGTTATTCCAACAGGCAACACACACGCTCTCTCCACTTGCACCATTCAAGTTGAAGTTCCTTTGTTGAAGTCGATGATTTTCGCACTCTTCATGAAATGGGAGTGTGGTGGTGGCGGATAACTTGCCGGTCTCGCAACCATTTAACAATGTTTAAATTATTAGCCAAGAAACACGATCTGAGTTAAATTTGTAATTTACAATTTTGGCAGTTATGACTCCTCGTCCCAGGAGAGATTCTTTTGAGGATGAAGATATATCTGCTGAATCTTCCACCCGCTATTTACGGGAATTCCAAAGATTCTGATGACAATTCTGGGTAAGTGGAAAAGTTCGGTTTTGTGTAAAAGGAACAATTGAGCAATGAACTTTAGAGGGTTAGGCGGGTTATCGGGGATTTTTATATGTTTAAAGCGGGAAATGTACTAAGAATAAGTAAGTATATATTAACACACTTTAGTTAATCGGACTTTAATATTAAGGAATTTATTTACTGCACAGGAAAGATTAATATGATCTCCTTAGATAGTAATATTAACTTTTTTTCGCTCTTTTTTCACATCAATTTTGTCTTATCAAATGCACCCGGAAACTGCATTATCTCAAGATCCGCTCCTGTTCTCAGCGAATCAAAGCGGCACGTGCATCGCATCACATTCAATCACACCTGTCAAGTTCCCAAAGTAATGGCCATTTGGCCACACAAAACGCTGAAACCAAGAGCTGATGAGATAACCTTATACGAAACTGGCAGAGTGAGCGATTTTCGCCATGGCCCGAGGGCTATAGCCCACTAGATCGCCACGAATGGAGCCAAGGGTCAAGTCGGGTATTATTATTTGTAACCGATTAGAGCTTGCCACACCGGATATCTTGTTATGCATGCGTTTGTTTACAGATGTATGTATGATGCGATGATGCCCATGGGGCCTTGCGAAAGTCCCACGCGGAATTCCTGAACTTCGATGAAAGGTGAAACTGGTTTTTTGGGCTCAGCTTTCAGTTTTGTTTTTTTTTTTTTGGTTGTTTTTCATTTACGGATGTGTCCGCAAGCGATAAACCCATAAAATATCCGTGTAGGTTGAGATCGTGCAAACAATTACGTGAATTCGAGAAAAGCTAAAGCGGGAAAATCAGCAATTGTTGTTTACAAAAGGGTTCTCAATGCTCGACCGATCATCAACTTGGATGGTTATATAACAAAGGGCTTTGTCTTGACTGTTAAACAGATATGGTACACGAGGAAAGCTAATGGGTAATAAGTTTGCCTAAAGAAATGTAAAGGAAATGTGGTTTTATGTTTGAAATTATAAGCTTAATATTAATCAAATATGGTAACTGTTTTAAGGTTTGAATATCCTTTTTAAGGGTAAATTTAACGTTTTAAAGACATTTTAGTATCCTACAAAGTTTTGATTTTACTTTCAGTTTACAACCTTTACCATAATTTTATCTTATAAAACTATACTTTCCCAAAATATAAACATTTATATATTATTCTAAATGAGCAAAAAGTATATAAACATAGATAAAACCCCACTTCCTCACTTGTGCCTGCCAATCAACCTTGACTTTGATCAAAACAAGCCCACTTGCAATAGGCTATAGCGAAAGCTCATCAGCCACGAAATTTCTTGCATAATTTCAGCATAACTGTCTGCTGAAAGATCTGAGAAAAAGACTCACTCGCTGGTTTTGGAAAACGAAAAGATTGCTCAGCAAATCTTTTGACTCAATAAAACAAAAAAATAAAAACAGAAACAGTCTCTCGGCTGTTAAATTATAGAAAGTTTTCCGCAAGCTTTTGACGATTCACATCATTGGCCACATTTGGATACCAAGGGGCTTTTCAGTTGCCAGTTACTGGCAATCGCAAAGGGGTTTAGCCTGGATTACCGCAACTCAGTTGAAAACTCCTCAAGGAGTCTGCGTAGCAAACGTTAGGAAAACATTATTTTGAAATGTCCAATTAGATGTTTCCAGCAGTGTTGAAATTTTTGTGTTTACGAGAAAATTATAGTGGAAACCTAAAACTAAAAGCAGACATAAAAACTTATTTGCACTTTTTAAACTGTTTAAGAAAAAGAAAAACAATACAAAATGGAAACTACAACTGTTACCACAACAACAACCATACAACCTGAATTGAAATGCATTATCATGGTAGTAAAAGAGATGTAAGCTGGTCATTCCAAACTCTGAAAATTTTATGTTTTTTTAACTAGCAAACAAAGAAATTGTTAAACTACGTCAATGGCAATTAATGACTATTACGGCATCCCTGTTTATCAATAGATTCCATTAGATTTTACTATTTACCAACAATTACCAGCTTTGTTAGCCAGAATCTGAATATTTGTTGTCGAGTGTTTGTTTCGGAAAATATTTAACAACTTATAGTACAGCGTTAATAAGCTTGTGTAGTTTTTAAAAAATATTAGAGTTTCTATTAAACTTTTTATTTGATATTTTAATGGTAAATTAAGTTGTGTAATGGAGAGAGGTGAGGTAATTTGGTTAACAAATTTGTGAGTTTTTAATATAGGAAACGTATCTAATAACTCAAAAATCTATCAAAGTATCATCTATCATCCTAAAAATTCCAATAAAATATCTAGCTTTTTTTGTCTTATAAAAAATGTTTTTAATTTCTTAGAAAAACTTAGATCAAAAAGTATTCTCTTCCTAAAATGTGCTTTAAAATTTACTTTACACATGCTTTGTTTTTCAAGGATATTTATGATATTGTATTACAAAGTCTCTCATAAAAGTTATTAATTTTTCAAGGAAAACTTCTACAATTTCCACACAAGCCTAGCAGCTGTATAAATATTTGATATTTGAGAAACTTCATGGACGTAAACATATCCATTCTGATTTTGGCAAATACAAAATCTTTATTTGCAATAGGTAGCAATTAGCTTTAACCCTGTAGGGTGACTCTTTGACTGAATTGTAGGCGTTTAAGAATGTACTTTAGAAAAGTAGTTACAATTTTACTTTTAGTGACTAATCACTAGTTTTAACAAATATGCTAGGTCATATTTATGAGGTCTTGAAATACTAAAAAAGTAAAGACAAATCGGGTTTATATTTAATAGCAAATTTTTAGTTTTAAAACCTTTGACTTAAAAAATCATTTTTTAGGGAATATTTATACATTTTAGGAAGCAATAACCCTATTTAAGCTTCTCCCTTATGCATTTATTCATTACTTTTTTTAAGTGCATATCAAAGTGCATTTGCTAACCAAAAACGTAAAACAGAAAAACAATAAAAATTGTAAAAACAAAACGTCATCAAAGTTGGATAAGATACTTTGCTTATGCACTTGCACTTGCCCTCCACATCGCTCTTATTGTTGTTGTTGTTGTTATTATGCATTTAGATTTAGAAGCTGGATAAACAAATTACAGTCAGGTTCTTCGCAGTTGCTGTTGTTTTTGCTGTTTTTCTGTTTATGGGGTGGGTAGGTTGCTTAGTAGCATATGGCATTTTGGTAATCCACGACTAAGTGGTGTTGTTGTTTGTTAATGAGAACTAAACCAGCCAGGGAAAAACAACAACAACAATAATACAAGGAACTCTGCAGAAGAAGAAAAGATAATAATAAATCAGCAAATAACCAATTTGTGCGACTGCAGTTTTGGGTCTTTAAAAATATAAGATATCAAAAACGAAATGAACGGCCAGTTGGCAAACGTCTGTCTTATAAGGCGGAAGAATCTTAAAAACATAAACATATATATACTCGTATATGCTAAAGCCGTTCTTGTCCTCAATTAAATTAGCTTTAAGCCGTCGCTGCTTACCTAATCGATAAGATTTTCTTAATTTTCTTAACTTTATCTGTATCTTTCAGATTGATGGCCAACCGCTTACGGATACGACGGATGCATCGCATCAGTTTTCGTCCAACGAGTGTTCATATTCTGGGGCCATGGACCGCAATACGACGAGAAATTGTCCAGGAATTCAACGGTTTGCATTTCGATTAGGATGTGAGTTTAACCCCAGCGAACTTTGGGGGTCAATTTGTTGTGGCAATTTGTCGGCATTATAATTTAATTGATCGCAAATCATTGTATTTGGCGAATTGACAAAAAAAGACTACGATCAGGGACAAATTGGCCAAAGAAAAGATATTGTTGTTTTTATCAATTTAACATGGCTTGTAACCTGGATTTTGGCTTATTGTTATCGTCTTTATATGAACGATGGTTGGCTGTAAATGCCAAACGCGAAATATGTGTGAACTATTGTGTTATATATCTAAGTTGGCAGCACTGCAAAATAATACAATTAGGACAAACCAAACCCAACAAATGCCAACTGAATCAAGGTCTCAGCAGCAACAAATAAAAAGCCTTTCGCTGGCGGGGCAACAGCTAAATATTTAAATAGTGGTGGTAACAAGTAGTTACCGTAGTTTTTGTATGTATTTAACATGCATGCTTACATGTCTGTGAAATCCCTGCGTAACTAACTCCCGAACGCTTTGGTTTGTATTGAACTTTTTGGGATTTTTCAAAATGTCTAGTTTCCTGGTTTTTAGCAAGTTTCAAGCAATTTAAAAGTCCAGACTTAAGGGTTGAATGGTAATTGCTTCCGATTCAAAGCAAAGGCTTTAATTAAGGCATAAATGTGGGAGTTAATGTATGTTAACTAGTGTAAAGTTAAACTATAAGCTTAGATATAGAGACAGATGCTAGATAGAAATAGGATCAAAAACCTTAACAATGTCTAAACAAAAAGTTCTCAGCATTTAAAAAACATTTCAACAAGATTCAACTAGAATAGAAATTGTATTAATTGGTTTTATTTATTTAATTGAACAAAGTGAAAAGCTTTTCGCTTTAGATTGGGCTTGCTTGCCAGAGCCAAAAAGTGTTTCCATTTGTGTTTGTAGCTTTTCCTTTGTTTTGTTTGCTTTGGTTTTGTTTCAATGTTACGTATCTGACGGTGCTAGTTCTTATCGGTTTTGGAAAAGTTTGTATTTATCAAATTGTTATTCCAACGATTTTTTGTTTTGTTTCCATGCAGGCCCCAGCCACTTGAAGTTCAAACCCCACATCCGTCAAAAAAAGATACTGCACATTCTGTCCAACAAGCTGTGCTTCGTGAGCATTTTCAGGACCAATGAGACAGTAAGAATGCAATTTGAAAAGAATTTAAGAGTTGAAAAATTCACTTTAATATCGTATTTCTATAGATCAACATCTGTCATTTCATGGTTGCATCCTGTTCATTGGCCCGACGATCTTCTGACCTGTAATTCCTTCTGCCTACAATGCCCTTTTGAGTGATCAAACTTCTGTGGTCTGCTCAAGGTTTGCTTCTGCCTTTGAAAATACGCTGATGTCCGCTATATATACCAGCATTCTCCTGTAAATCGGAGAGTGACATGAAATCTTCCTAATGGTTTATCCTTTCAAGTATCTCCCTCCTTGCGGGGGCTACCATATCAGTGGAATGCATATGCCTCTGGTGTCATAATTTTCCTGCGTACCTCTGTACTCAACGACGGTTTGGGGATGTTCGGCCTGGCCATTGCTGTGGGATTCCAAGACTGAATCGGGTGCCATGGAATGCCAAGGTGTCGGTTCGCTGCTGTGGTCTGCTTTGCGAACTCATTCCGCTTGGGTCATTGGGCAGTGGCGCGACTGGGTGGTTTGGAGAACGAGCTAGTCAGGGTAGGTGTTCCACCTGAATTCACATTTATTAATAATTTCACCAATTTTTGAGTAGCTTGCGGTGCCTGCATTGTGGTCATGCATTGTTCTGCCTCGTCGCCTCTGCTTTCTATGCCGCCAAAATCCCGGAGCGCTGGTTCACCGGAAAGGTGGACTTCAGGGGTCACTCCCATAATCTGGTACTGATAGCTATTTTTAATTTTAAAATCTTCAAATTAACTAATGTTATTACACCTGTTAACAGGCACCTGATCATTGTGGCAGCCTTCTGGCTTCACTGGCACAACACTGGACTGGTCTATGCTGAATACGCCTGAATAATGGCTGGTAGTGCTCCCGTTCTAGCCTGGAGATTTGAGATCATAAATCTATGATTAAGGATCAAATGATCTAAGATCTGAGGAGTCAAAAGTGGAACCGGGACCAGTAGACTCTAGCATAGTGTAAATAGTTTATGGGGCGCTCTTTGATCCGCTACAACTAATATTTAGCGTTGTAGTTTGCTGACCGATAGAATAATTTAAGTGTGTAATTTCAATAATTAGTTAGGTTTTTTCGTGTTAGTCAATCCAAATGAGAGTTACATCGCAATGCTGGTTGGACGGTTTTCTTTATTTCCTAATTCAGTTTCATTTTATTATAAACAGTTGTCCTTTGGAATTGCATACAAACTGATTAGCTAATATCTTGTTGACTGATTTTACAATTACTTTAAAATGCAACACAATATCAAAAGTACAAAACAAAAGTGATGATAGTCTCTATTTTTCTTAAAAGAACTTAATCTTTGATTTAAGCCAAAAGCTAACGGCTATTTTAATTTTATAGTAAAATAACATTAGCGGTTAATAGAGAGTGTTAACGTGACCACTTAAAAAAACCCATCTTGACTCAGTTGAAAAAGGAATCGACTAGTCTCAACATATGATCGTTTCATCATTGATGGTCAAAAACAGAAACTAAAGAATTAAGATAAAAAATGATTTTCAATACTACAAAGCTTTAACATTTGAAGTTGGCGGAAAATGAAAGGCTTT